GTTGGTGATATATGAGAAAATGAGATCTCTCCATAGCTTCAAAAAAATCTGAATTAAACTGAGAGTGGAAGGGGGACAAGGCTCTGTGGAGCAGCAACAATGGGCAGAGAGTTTATGGTAAACCAATAAAATGTACTTATGTCTGAATGTGAAATTAGACTCTGAAAAATATGGTCTCAAGGCACCTGCTAAAGAGCTTACTGGAATCTTAATAAATGACTCATGCTGTCATAATCTGATCCTGACATCAACTCCCAGGGCTGGAGTTCTTCAGCTCTGGAGAGGGGGAAGGGGAGGCTGCAAAGACTGGGGTGGAAATGGGCAGGTAAAAAACCATTTACACAAGAGATATTGGTAATTTTTGCTATCACCAGCTCCTTTGCAAACCCAGAACAAACAAGACTTGAGCAGAGGAATTCAGCAGCACCAGAAGAAAACATGAATTTTTCTTTAGCTGATGCTGTGGGTTGTTTTGTAGAGGATGTGTGGTTTCCTTCCAAATCCAAAAGAGGATTTTAGTGGGAAGAAAGAACCAGATGGGAGAGTTAGCAGCACAAAATAGGGGTGATCACTGAGAGTACTGAGGGAGAGATTAATTCTTCTCTCCTGGTCCTGGCTTTGCCACAAACTTTTCTTTTGCTTTGGGAAATCCTTTAATTCCATTCATTTAGAGGTTATAAAAACTTCCCCTCTCCATAGACATATGTTGAAAATTACATTTATTAATTATTTTAATCTTCTATAAATTTTAAACAGGAGTGTTAATTATTAGTTTCCTCTCTGGCAGCACATTGCAAACCTCAGCTTGACACAGGGAACTTCTTTTTTCCAGACCTTGAATGACAGCACTGTTAAAAGTGCCCCAGAAATTGGAAAATTCAGAGCAAATTGAGGGGAAAGAGATGGCCAAGGATCAGCTTTGGAGTTACAAATGTGCTGCGTGGGTCATTTTTTTATTCCCTCTTGTTGATTTGGCCGCTGTTGAGGGAAAGTTGAGATTTTCTCCAAGTGCTCAGTGAAACCCTGTGGATATTACAGAGCTCTGCACACAACAGCCAGATTCTGCTACAAGAATAAATGCTCATTTCCCTGCTGCAGCCCAGGTGCAGGGCCAGTAAGGAACTACTTATCATGTTCTGTGTTCAGGAGAAAATCACAGCCTGTGGCCACAGTTCTTGGTGAGTTTTAGAGCAACTGGCAACTTATTAGTCATGGGATTAAAAACCAGCTCCTGCTCGTGGTTTTTAAAGTGAATAATTTCACTTTTTCCTCCTGGTGGTTTTTCTTTTTTTCCTTCTTTCCTTTTGTGGTGTTCCTGGATACTTGAATTTTTCAGGCATTTTGCTCTCTTGTAAGATTAATGACATGGATATAAAACTGATGGGGAAGGGAAGGGATTGGATCTCTAATGGAGTAAATCTGAATTTTTCCAACCTGGGCAAAACAATTTGGTTGCTTAGATCACTTTCCTTAATTTGCAGTCCTAGTTTTAGCACCCCTGATTTCAGCTTTGCCTTTTAAGCAGGAGAATGGGTGCAAGGAAGAGTTTCAGTATCCATCTAAAGACAGCTGCAAAATGCTCAAAGAGGAACAAATAAAATAACCAAAATCTTTCAGAGCGTGGGGTGGGTTTTTTTGTCTTTCGCAATCCAGGATCTTACAAATTAAATACATTTTAAAAAAGCAACCACAAAACAAACCCAACAGAAAAACCCCAACAACAAGAAACCCCAAACAAGCAGAAAAAGAACCCCAGTCAGGTCTGGAAATCAAATCCAGGTTGTGCAATGTTCTCCTGTTTGATTCAGATTGTTTAAAAATAAAGCTTCAATGTTGCTGTGATTTTTTTTCCCTCCCCTCCCTGGTTTTGCCATTAAAGCCTCACTGTTGCCCTTTGCTCTTTGAGCAGCTTTTGGCCTTGGAGAGGCAGCTTGGTGTGGTAAATTTCCCTAGGAAATGGCTTTTAAGGATGGATCCATCCTAAAGGTGCTCAGCTCAGCCTGAGGGATTCTTGGTTCTCAAGGACTCCATGCAGTGTAAGAATACTTGAATGACAAAGCATAAACGGTGCTGGATTTTAGAGAAAAATCCAGTACTAATATCAGTAATTTCCAAAGCAATCCTGTTAAATAGCATGGAATAATAAATGTACCAGGGCAGTTGTACAGGGAGAGCTGCTCAGCCCAGTCTGGTTCAAGGAAATGTAAGAGGGAGGAACAATTCCGCGTCCCGAGGGAAATTTGGGTGAGATTCTGCTGATTGTTATGAACTCTGCATGTGCTGAGCTCTGGGATGCTTTGGGATCAGCCTGTGCTTCAGAACAGGACCAAGGAGTTGTGTGTGCCCTGGAGATCATTATGGGATGGCTCTGCACATGGGACACTGCTGGGGTCACCCCTGGGGCTGCCCTGGGCAGGGCAGTGTTGGCTCCTCTCGTCTCCTGCCCCATCTCAGCCACACCAGGAGTTGCTCCTTGGGAGAAAATGCTCCTTGAGGGCTGAGGAAAATGCTCCTGGAGGGCAGGGGCAGGACAGCAGGAGGAAGTGGAGCTGCCCTGTTCCCCAGCCATGTCCCAAGGATGTTCAGACGATGCTGTTTTGTCCCAAGTGCCTCCGTGGGGAGCCTGAGGAGAGATTTCCCAACCAGAAAAACCCAAGGAACCCCCAGGGCTTTGGGGAAATAGCATTCCATTTACCTTATCTCTTATGGGGGGGAGAGGGGGAGGTTGCTGGATTGGAAAATAAACCAGATGGCTCTGTCATTGTAAAAAGTCTCTTCAGATAAGAGTGCAGGGAATTCCATCTCTCTGTGCTGTGGGCAGAGCCTGGCATGGGGGCAGGGAGAGCCCTTTCCCCTCCAGCTGACTGGGCAGTTTGTTGTTGGGGAATGCAGGGAGAGCCCCATCCTTGGAAATAACCCCAAAGTCAAACGCATTTTGTGTTAATGCCCCACCTCAGCTCCTCAACCCAATTCCACAATATCCACATGCTGCTGGAGACTGGGAGCAGGAATAACACTTCTCACTGCTGGGATGCTTGGAATATTCTCTCTGAGTCTTCTTTTTTCTCCTTTTTCCTCACCCGGATGCAAGAAATGCTGCCAAGCAGGCAAAGGTGAGGGGGATGGAGAAGCACTCCTGGTTTCTTGCTTGTCTCATCTCCTTTTGCTAAATTCAGTGAATATTTTCGCATGTATTTTTACAAAGTTTTTCCAACCTGATTAGTTTTGAGGTCACATCACTGCAGTCTTGGCTCCAGTGAGATCAACACCAGAATTCCCAGCTTCCCCAGAAGCTCAGGTGTAGCCACTCTCCTTGGGAATATTCCCCAGTTTTGGCTGGAATCAGTTGTGTTTTGCCTTCCCTGTTGTTGTAGCAGTGTTTGCAAAGGTGTGTGTGGTACCAAGCTCTGCCAGAGGAGCTTTTGGGAAAAGTCTCTTAGGGCAGCCAAGATGAGCCCAGCCTGTTTGGGATAATTGTTTGTGTGTTTTGCTTTGGGTTCACTTTGTTTTTCTAACTCGGCTGCCAACACAAAGAACCAGGGGAAATAATTCCGAGTAAAATTTCAATTTTCTTTATTTTTCTCTCTCCTTGACAAATTAAAAAAGAGAAATATTTCATTTCACCGAAGCCCTGAAGTGCTTCATTTGGGTCATTAGGAAAAGCAAGGGAAATGAAAGGTTAGACTTCAAAGGAAGTGCCTGGGGGCAGCTCCCATTCATCCAGGATGGAGGAGACCCTGCTCCAGCTTTTTCCTATGCTGGAGAGGAGTTGGAAACTCTTGTCCTGCTTCCTGGGAAGGTTTGCTAGGAAAAGGCTGTTCTGGGGTGAGGGTGGGATTAGGAAAATGAGCTGGAGGAGACACAGTGTACATGAAAAAATAAAAACAAGCAATGTTGTAAAAACTCTATATTTGATTTCAAGCTGCAACTTGAAAAATGAAACTGGAAGTCTTGGTTGTTTGTAAGGTTCCTGAATTTTATATAGACATAGTAGATAAATTTACATAAATGCTATCTATATTGATTTTTGTCACAATGAAAATTAATCTATCTGTATATTAAAAGTCCAGGTTTAGTAACACACATTTTAAGATGTAACACCTTTCCAAGCACAGCAGAGATGGCTGAGAGCTGTGCAAACCCTGCTTGTTTAGGACACATGGTACCACTCAATTGTCCTGTTCTTACTGGCTGTAGCTTTTGTCTCTGCCTCCTAATCGACCATAAAATAGTAAAAAAAAAAAATTTCAAAAATCCAGATATCCAAGAGTAAATCCAGAGCAGAGCTGTTGCATAAAACAAATGTTATTTGTTGAGGATGTTTCATCCAGGGCCTAGGCTCCAGGAGAGCTGAAGAGGGACTTGGGACAAGGGATGGAGGGACAGGACACAGGGAATGGCCTCAGACTGAAAGAGGGTGGGGTTCAGATGAGATACTGGGGAGGAATTGTTCCCTGTGAGAGTGGGGAGGGGCTGGGCTGGAATTCCCAGAGCAGCTGTGGCTGCCCCTGGATCCCTGGAAGTGCTCAAGGCCGGGCTGGACAGGGCCAGACTGGAGCAGCCTGGGACAGTGGGAGGTGTCCCTGCCATGGCAGGGCTGGCACTGGATGACCTTTGAGATCCCCTCCAACCCAAACCAGGCTGAGATTCCAGGATTTTACTGCTTTTGGAGGGAAATCCTTGCCCTGAGGATGGGCACCAGCAGCGTGCAGCGCTGGGTGTTGGTGACCGTGCAGGGTGTTTGTTGGTGACCGTGGCAGGCTGGGGCCAGCCCTGTGTGAGCTGTGGGCTCAGCAGCCCTGTGTGCTCCCGTGCAGGTCCCTGGATGGGCGGTTTTTACTGCTTTTGCAGGGAAATCCTTGCCCTGAGGGTAGGCACCAGCAGCGGCCTGGCAGCGCCGGGTGTTGGTGACCGTGCCGGGTGTTTGTTGGTGACCGTGGCAGGCTGGGGCCAGCCCTGTGTGAGCTGTGGGCTCAGCAGCCCTGTGTGCTCCCGTGCAGGTCCCTGGATGGGCGGTTGCAGGTGTCCCACAGGAAGGGCCTCCCCCACGTCATCTACTGCCGCCTGTGGCGCTGGCCCGACCTGCACAGCCACCACGAGCTGCGCGCCATGGAGATGTGCGAGTTCGCCTTCAACATGAAGAAGGACGAGGTCTGCGTCAACCCCTACCACTACCAGAGAGTGGAGACCCCAGGTACGCCACAGCCCTGCCCCCTCTGCCTCTCCTGCAGCAGGAGCCATCTCTGACGGCATTCCCAGGAGATCCTACCCCCTCTGCCTCTCCTGCAGCAGGAGCCATCTCTGACGGCATTCCCAGGAGATCCTACCCCCTCTGCCTCTCCTGCAGCAGGAGCCATCTCTGACGGCATTCCCAGGAGATCCTACCCCCTCTGCCTCTCCTGCAGCAGGAGCCATCTCTGACGGCATTCCCAGGAGATCCTACCCCCTCTGCCTCTCCTGCAGCAGGAGCCATCTCTGACGGCATTCCCAGGAGATCCTACCCCCTCTGCCTCTCCTGCAGCAGGAGCCATCTCTGAGGGCATTCCCAGGAGATCCCTGCCCCCTCTGCCTCTCCTGCAGCAGGAGCCATCTCTGAGGGCATTCTCAGGAGATCCCTGCCTTCCCCAGCCTCTCCTGCAGCAGGAGGCAGCTTTGAGGGCATTGCCAGGAGATCCCTGCCCTCCCCAGCCTCTCCTGCAGCAGGAGCCATCTCTGATGGCATTCCCAGGAGATCCTGCCCCCTCTGTCTCTCCTGCAGCAGGAGGCAGCTCTGAGGGCATTGCCAGGAGATCCCTGCCCTCCCCAGCTTCCCTGCAGCAGGAGGCAGCTCTGAGGGCATTCTCAGGCACAGTGGGTCTATTATTGGTGATAATCCCTTACTCTATGGAGTAGGATAATTTATGAACCTGCACTCAGGGGGAAATTATCATCAATTGATGAAATCCAAGTGAGCAGGTTCCATGTTCCCAGTGTGGCACTGTGTGCACATAACTCACAGCAGGAACCATAGCAGTGTTCTGTGCAGCCCTCACTGCTGGGGTTAAATTAAGGATAAACTGTTGAGCTGGGTCTAAGAACAGCTCCCAGCTTCCTGTTCTGGAGTCTCCTGCTGCCTCTGGAAGAGACTTTGATCTGGAGCTGCAGGAGCTTCTGCTGCGTGTCAGCACAGATCTGCAGAGCCAGGCAGGATGTTTATGCTAATCCCACCTGCCTGCTCTATCCTATGGGAAACTCATTCCTTGGGAATCATGGGGTGCACCATCTCTTAAATGGTGTTTCAAGCAGAGCTAGAAGGGAGCAGAGAGACCAGATGTGCTCAGATAAGCTCTATCCCATTCCCAGCTGGGAATAAACAGCATCCTCACCTGCTGCTGCTATTCCAGAGGCAAACTTCAAATCCTGTCCCTTAACGAGCCCCTGTCTTTAAAGCTGTCACTCCAGCCTGGTTTCTCCTGGTTTCCTGCTGTTTCACTCCCTTGATTTCGTGTTTTCCCTCCGCAGTGCTGCCTCCGGTGCTGGTGCCTCGGCACACGGAGATTCCGGCCGAGTTCCCGCCCCTGGATGACTACAGCCACTCCATCCCAGAGAACACTAACTTCCCTGCAGGTATCGAGCCCCAGAGCAACTACATTCCAGGTACCTTGTGTCTTCCATACAGGGAGCAGAGGGAAGGGTCAGAGAGCACAGGGAATCCTGCCTGGGCATCCCAGACTGGGAATCTTCCTTTCCAGCGTTCCTCTGGAGCTGCAGAGTGCAGAAATAGCTGGGAATTGTAAATGGGGGCACTCAACATGTTCGTGGCTTTGTTTTGTTGGGGTTTAAACTCATCTCTTCATTCAGTGGTACAACCTCAGTTTATTGTGAAATCTAAACTGGATGTTCCCTTACCGGGTTGAGATTTGAATGAAATTCAGCCATTTTGAGTAAAACTCTCCAAATTTCTGATGGAATTGAGCTCTTCTATTTATGTATCTATTTTACAAGCAATTTACACCTTATTTGCATGGACAAGTTATGCAGCTGCACTCCAGGAGAGGAGAAATATGTGGACAGAAAACTGCCTCCATGGCTTAAAGTTTCATGGGACTGAAAATCCGGATTTTTTTGTTTTCCCCCTCCTGTTATTCACAAATATGGATATCACCCTGGCTGTGCTGGCTCCTCCTTCCAGCAGCTTGAGAAAGAAGTAATAAAAAAGAATTTGAGCTCCTTGTAAATGACAAAGTGAATGTTTTTGATGCCTAAAAACTAGACTTTTCTGTTGCACTGACAGTGTGATGGTTTTGTGCCTCCAGAGACCCCTCCTCCAGGCTATCTGAGTGAGGATGGAGAAACCAGTGACCACCAGATGAACCCCAGCATGGATGCAGGTGAGTCACCTTTGGGGTTTTAATTTAGTGGCTGTATCCCAAAGGAAGTTGAATGTCCAGCTTTTCTCTCATTGCCACAAAAAGCCAGATTTGGAATGAGGGTACCTAATTGAGGTTCAAGCAATCCATATATTATGTTCAAATAGCCCATATTAATGTTCAGATGTCATGGACTTCCCTGATTATAGAAAAAAATAATAAAGCAACCAGCTCAGAACAGTGTGAAAGGAAATGTAAAAATGGGCTGCAACATCTGTCTGCATCCATGGGACATCCAGGTGCAGATACTGAAAATATAGGCCCAGAATTGGTGGCAAATTTACATGATTGAGGATAAAATTCTGACAACTTTTTGGTCAGATCTGTGTAACCTGATCCAATACTCCATTGTCCCAAATCCAGCAGGATTTGGGATATAAAGTGTTATGGTTTTAATTTTATTTTGTCTGGCAATCTACACCCAAGCTCTTTAATGCCCAGCTAACTGGGTTTGTCAGGATGATACCTGAATGCAAAAGAGCCAAGTGTGCTGCTCAGTCTGGAAAATAAATGGGTTAAACTCCAGTGAATTCCCTGTGAAGGGGCAGCAAGTTGATATTTAAGGAGTAGTGAACATCAGAGAAGCTGCAGTGTCAGAAATGAGCCTGCAGTGAGCACTGGGCTGTCCCTCCAACAAGCCTGGGCAGCCCTGCAGATCCTGTGAATGTTTTTCCTGGTGCAGATTCCATAGCAATAATTACCCCATCTTGATTTTCAGGTTCTCCAAACTTATCACCAAACCCCATGTCTCCAGCACACAACAACCTGGGTAAGCACATGATCTTGGGAGCTGTAATTACAGTCAAGAGGGTGACATTTGAATGATGCTGTTGAAGTTGTGCACTTTTTGCAATATTCCAATGGTTTTGAACTGCCAGAGGGCAGCTTTGGATTGGATGTGAGCAGGGAATTGTTCCTGGGAGGGTGGGGAGGGCTGGGATGGAATTCCCAAGGGAGCTGGGGCTGCTCCTGGGTTCCTGGCAGTGTCCAAGGCCAGGCTGGAGCACCTGGGACACGGGAAGGTGTCCCTGGCCAAGGCAGGGATGGAACTGGATGGGATTTAAGGTCCCTTTTAATCCAGCCCATCCTGGAATTCTGTGGTTTTGTGAGACTGAGCATCTTCTGAGCAGAGAGAAGTGGAGCAGATTGGTTGGTGTGGGGTTGGAGAGCCCAAAAAAGCAGGGAATGTGCAGGAGTGCCAGGGAATGGAGAGGTCATGGACAGCATTCCTGCAGCACCAGAGGTGGTGGTGGGGGAGATGCACAAAGCACAGATGCTGATCTGGCTCACACCAGCTGCTTTTCCTCACCAAAACCCAAACTCTGCAATCTGGAGTTGTTTTCCCCTCAGCTCCATCTGGGCACAGGGAGCACATTCCAGCCCAAGGGCTCTGTCAGACCATGGCTGGCACTGACTCATCCCACACCTGTGACAGAAACAGGGAACCCTGAGGAGAAGGGAGAGCAGCTGAACCTCTGACACACCACGAGAGCTTTTGTGGCTCTCTCTGCTCCTCTGTTACCTCAAAAGTTCCACCCTTTATTTTCATTCTGATCTCCATCACTCTGAGCTCCTGCCCTGTTTGGAATTGCTGTGCCATAAAAATCCCTCCCAGCTCTGCCTGGCTGCAGGATCAGCTCCCCAACTGTTCATTAAGGCAGCAGACAGAGCCCACTTGAGACTGCTCTGGAATAACCATGGCCATAAAGTTTACATATGCTTTTAATCCTGGCACGCAGGACTTTGACACTGTTCCAAAATTTGTCAGTCATTGGCTGACTTTTGGATATCTTGGGGCTGTTGAACAGAGGATTTCTTTTTTTCTCCCCCCAACCTTTTTTTTTAATATTGCTATGGTGACACAAAACTTTTATTTCTTTAACTGCTACAGCCCAAGAAGAAAATGCATGACTGAGACATTTTTATTTCATTTTTCCCAGTGTGCTGCCTGGGAGCTGATGAGATTTTCTTGCAGTTTTTCCTGCAATTTTTCCTTTTTTTTTGTCCAACCTAAAAATAAAAAGCCAATTCCATGTAACAAACTCAACCTGGCAAGTGGTATCTGCCTTCCACAAGGCAGAAAGGAGTTCTAGGAAACACACCCCCAGATCCTTCCTGACAGGGACACTGGTTAGTAACACATCAGATGTCTCAGGTGCTGTCTGGGGACAAAAAAAGGAGCAGGTGAAGCTGGTAAAGCATGAGGAGTCTCTTTGTAGTCTGAGGAGCAGACAGCAGAGAAGCAGCTTAATTTACCAGCATTAAAAAATGCCTTTGAATTCTTGCAAACCATATTTATTGCTCTCAGGCAGGAGCTTCCACAAATGAAGAACTTCTTGTTGCTTTTAATTTTACTGTAAAGTTTTTGCCTTTGTGAGGAAGCTATGAAATAATAAATGAAAGAGCAGCTGAGCCACACTTAAAAGTGTCCAAGGGCAAGACTGTCATCACATGAGTGTTGTAAATGGTTTATCTGCAGCAAGGAGCTGCTCTCAGGGAAATCAGACCTTCAGCCTGATGGTCACAGCCCAGGAAGGAGCTGCTGGTGGCTGGTGACCTGCTGCAGCACTCCTGTAATTCCTGGATAAGCAAACTCCACTGTCTAGGGCTGGACCTTGCTCTGCAGGAGTCTAATGAGGCTTTCTGTGTGTATCTGTGGAGAAAATGGAACAGAAATCCAAACCCCGCAGCAGTGTGTGCAAGGAGGGAGTTTCTCAGCTCTGGAGCACAGGGGGGGCTTTGCCATGAAGAAAACAATGTCCCAGGATTGCTTTGTTTATTTGAGCAGAACTACCTGAAGCTTTTAAGACAGTTCACTTTGTGTAAACTGAACTTTGGACCTAAATCCCATGGCCATATTCCAGGAGTTGCAGAGGCAATAAAGCAGCACAAGGCAAACCAAGTGTGACACCAGGGGCAGGGCAGGTTTTCCATGTCAGGCTGAAACGTGGGATGGAAGGAGCTCAGGGAATTTCATCTTTCCATTCCCAGGCACAAAAGCGTTGCAAGGTAACATATTGGGAGTTTTTTTTTTAAATTCTCCTTTCAGTTTGTGTTGGAAGTGTTGGATGTTGCAAGGTAACATATTGGGATTTTTTTTTTTTTAAATTCTCCTTTCAGTTTGTGTTGGAAGTGTTGGAGTTTTGGTTCCAAATTACAGTTGTCAAGTTTTCAGTTGTCAAACAGAAGCTTTAAGTGGAAGTCACAGATATCCAAGGATCTCTTCCCTATTGCTGAAACACAAACTGAGGGAAATGCTAAAAACAAAATGACAGGAGAGTTGCCAGCATTCTGTGGGCACTGGGAATGAAGTCAGGGAGTGGGGGCTGGCTGAGGAGCAGCCCTGTGGTCACACACACATTGTTATTCCGAGGGGGCCATCCCTGGAGCACAGGAAATCCATTGTCAGGGATTGCTCCGCTGAAGGGCTTGGCGCAGGAGCTGTCAGAGCAGAGAGCACATGGCCCTTGGTCACATCCACGTCCCTCTGTCCCCTGTCCCAGGGCACAGCCAGCCTTCCCTGGCTGCACAGGGAAGGGAACATCTCATTTCCAAGGAGGGGGCTGGGATTGGCACAGTGGGAAGCATCTCTCAGTGAGCTGTGAGCCGCGTTGTGATCAGACACATCTCTGAAACGAGGGTAACAACTTCCCTGTGCTCACAGCAGGGGCAGAGCAGGCAGCAGATTTTCCCCAGGACTTTGATCTGGCAGGGAGGATGCAGGACTGCGACCATCCCAGGACCCAGAGGACACTTCTGACAGCAAAGCTGTTTCTGAGTCAAGGCTGAAATTGTGCAGAGATGATTCAGGCAGGATTTTCCTGGGTTTCATGTATCCTGTTTTATTGATTGTGTTACCCCCACAGGGTTCTTTGGCTTTAGCAGAGCTGCATTCTCTTACTTTTCCCCAAACACTGAAGCCATAAATTGAAAATGAATATTTAGGACAGCTCTAATATAAGAGAGAAATTGCCCATCCCACAGCAGCTTAAGCTGAAGTTTAAAACTACAAATCACAGGAGAAAGCAGCATCATTAAAAACTTGGTTTTGTTTTTAGACAAGCTTTTCCTCAAACCAGGATTTGTTGGTTTATGTCTTTCCTCAGGCTGTGGATAAGCCAGAAATAAAATTTCTGTACATCCTTCAGTGAGGAATCCACAGTTCCCTTGAGCCTCAACGAGGTGGAGGTGGTTTCTGAAGGAAAGGACCACAAAACCATGGAGAGGTTTCAGTGTTTTTATAACTTGAATTACACCAACCTGAGGACATTACTTAAGGACCAACACAAGTTGATTTTTCTGGAGCTGAGCAGCCTTTTGATTAGAAAAGCACTTTCTGTGGAGCAAGAGCCCAGTCGTGTGGAACTGATCTGTTTTCTTTGGTGGGTGCACTCACCTTGGGAGGCTCTGGGCAGAGCTGGTGTTTGCTGGGCCTCTCTCCAAACTGTGCTGGGGCCACAGAGCCCAGAGCTGTCCTGAGGTGGCCACAGCTGCTGCTGGAAAAACTTGCCTGGTGTGGCAATTTCCAGTGGGAACACCAAATGGGCCATGCAGGAGAAAAGGGCAGGGACAGTAAACTTGTGTCACTGCTGGATGTGTGAAATAATCTGTTTCTATCAGGAGAGGGGCTTGCTTTGAGCTAGAAAATTCAAATGTGAGGAAGTGGCAGGTAAAAGAAGCTGGGAATGGGTACAAGCTCCACATTTCATTAGGATTACAGAGTTCCCCAGATGTACTTCTATTCAATTCCTTATTTGCTGTCAGCAAAGCTTGTAACAAAGCAGAAACCAAAGGGATTTTCCTGAGTAATGGCTACTTTGGGAACTCTTCCAGCAGTGGAGAGGAAGCCAACGTGCCTTTTGGCTGCTCCAGCCTGTGCCTGAAGGTTATGGAGTAACAGGTACAGGTGAGAAAAGACTCCCAGTCCTCTGCAGAGACCCTGGTCAGTGTGAGAGAAGGCTGGGGTGGTGAAAACCTGTCTTGGAATTCTTTTGGAGTTGATCTCTTAAGCCCCACATTCTCCTAAGCCCTGAATGAGCAGCAGATGGGAAAGAAAGATGTGGCAAAAGCTGGGTTTTGCTGCTTGATGTTAACTCCTTGGCCAGATGGGAGCTCTTCTGTTCTGTCTTTAAGCACCTTCCGAATGGGGATGAAGTGATAAATTGGGGGGAGGGCTGGAGGGGATTCTTCTCCTGCACTGGATGTGGGGAACAGCACTCAGGAATTGGCTGGGTCTGCTTTGCAGTCCCCTGCTCAGCTTGGCTCTCAGCAGGGCTGGGCACCTCCCTGGGCTGCATTTCCAGGAAATTTTCCTTGAGCCTGGCTCTGCTGGAGTCTCCTGGGCTTCAGTGGGAGCAGTGAAATAACTCAGTGCTGTCTGAGTGCCCACCCTGCCTTCCTGAGGCTGCCTCAGCTCCCTCTGCCCCTCAGCTTCAGTCCACGAGGCAAACCAGAACTCCAGGGGAAGAGCTGAGCCTTCACCTGCTGGGAAAATGGATTTTCCTGGGATGGTTTGAGATCCAGTGCACTGGGAGAAGGTTTTCAAATCACTTTGATGCCAGTGTTAAAGGCAGTTTGGGGCATATTTCAGACTCTACTGGTTTCACCAGTGCCAGAGAGGTCACAGCAGGGTCAGTGAGAAGGAAAGTTGGATTTACTGGTTGGAAGTGCACAGAGTTAGGGTGCAGTACACGTGTGCTATGGACAGCAGGTTTGTGCTTTATGCTTTCCAAGATTTTCTGCTCCTTCCTTTTCTTTATCTCCTTAAGGAACTGAATACCTAAAAGGGATCCCACTTTTCATAGTAAAGCTGAGTTTATTTATTTAATTTCCCCAAGTGTGAGGCTGCTCAGTGACACCCCACCTGCTAAGTGAGTAATGCCTTTGACCATTTGTGATTGCTCCACGTGCCAGAAGCTCCAGGGCTGATGTCACCTCCTTGCTGTGGTCCATTAAAATGAAACCTGGGTTGAAGTGAGCCTGAGGAATGAAGCAGAACAATATTCCAAACCAGCTGTTTGGGTTTTTTTTCATCCCCCTTTCCCCTGCTGCGGCTGATTTGGCTTTTGTTTGGTGCAGACCTGCAGCCCGTGACCTACTGCGAGCCGGCCTTCTGGTGCTCCATATCCTACTACGAGCTCAACCAGAGGGTGGGGGAGACCTTCCACGCCTCGCAGCCCTCCATGACCGTGGATGGCTTCACCGACCCCTCCAACTCGGAGCGCTTCTGCCTGGGACTGCTGTCCAACGTCAACCGCAACGCGGCCGTGGAGCTCACCCGGCGGCACATCGGTAACTCGCTGTCCCTGGCCGGGCAGGGGACACCCTGCAAAAACCCCTCCTCAAAAACCCCTCCTCAAAACCCATCCTCAAAAACCCATCCTCAAAAATCCCTCCTCAAAACCCATCCTCAAAACCCATCCTCAAAAACGCTCCACAGAAACCCGTCCTCAAAAACCCATCCTCAAAAACCCCTCCTCAAAACCCATCCTCAAAAACCCATCCTCAAAAACCCCTCCTCAAAAACCCCTCCTCAAAACCCATCCTCAAAAATCCCTCCTCAAAACCCATCCTCAAAAACCCCTCCTCAAAACCCATCCTCAAAACCCATCCTCAAAAACGCTCCACAGAAACCCGTCCTCAAAAACCCATCCTCAAAAACCCCTCCTCAAATTCCCTCCTCAAAAACCCCTCCTCAAAACCCCCTCCACAAAACCCATCCTCAAAAATCCCTCCTCAAACCCCATCCTCGAAACCCCTCCTCAAAACCCCCTCCTCAAAAACGCTCCACGGAAGCCCATCCTCAAAAACCCCTCCTCAAATTCCCTCCTCAAAAACCCCTCCTCAAAACCCCCTCCACAAAACCCATCCTCAAAAATCCCTCCTCAAACCCCATCCTCGAAACCCCTCCTCAAAACCCCCTCCTCAAAAACGCTCCACAGAAACCCATCCTCAAAAACCCCTCCTCAAATTCCCTCCTCAAAAACCCCTCCTCAAAACCCCTCCACAGAGGTTTAGAGCCGTGGGTGGGAATATCTGTGGATTGCAGCAGGCTGATCCCCCATACAACAACACTAATTGTGTTTTTTCACATAATCGTAATATAAAAATGCACCAAGGAATGCTAAAATTGCAGCACGTCACAGAATTTAAAGCATTTCACACACTCTGTATCTGGAGGGATGTCAGGGATAATTTTGTGTCTTCTTTTCCCTTCCTGCACTGTTTTATTTTCTGACTGACCTTTTATAAATGGAAACTGAGCTCCTTGATTGTCATCTCAATTTCCACTTTTCCTGCAAGGTCCCAGCCAATTTGTTTTCAGTGAAACTTGTGCTAAGTGGAACATCCCAAATTTCTGCAATTTTGCTAAAAGTCAATTGCTTGTTCTTTACTGTTTTCTGCTGACTCCTATCAAAAATGAACTTGATTTTTGTCCTAATTTTGCTCCCCTTTCCTGAGCAATAGGAAAATCCTCCCTCTTGCACAGGAGGATCTTTCCTCACTTGTTTTAAAGATTATTATACTCCAATCCCTAAAACCCACCAAGATTCAGAAATCTGATTTTAAATGCAGCAGACTCCTTGTGCTCTGTGGAAGGATGAAAGCAACACATTCAGACAGGAATGTGAGACCACATCAAATGTTTATTTGAGCAACAAAATGTATTCTTCAACTTTGTTCCTTTATTAACTGAGATTTTAATGATTTGTGTAAACACCTGTGGGCGATGTGCATGTCCTTGTACACAAAGTGATCTCCAGGAAAAGGCAAGGATTGGGAAGTGCTGTGGAATTTTATTCTAGAACATTGAATAAATCCCAAACAGTTGTGTCCAGCTGGGATGACTTTCAGAAGAAATTATTATTTTAATGTGTTAACTGATAGAAATGATGACTTTCATGTGTTAACTGATAGAACATTCATATGGAAAATATCAGTGTGCGTGTGTTTGGAGGGACCTGGCTGGGGCTGGAGGAACAATTCCAGCTGGAGCTGGTGCTCCTGCCTCCCTCAGCTCACCTGGCCATGGAGCAGTTTATTGGAATGTCCAGTGGGACAGGGTTTCCATCACTGGTAGCCGAGCTGCTGGTTTAGAGCTGGCTCAGGGAGCCGTCCCAGCCCCTGGGGCACTTTTCCAGGTGCTCCCATCACTGATCCCCCCTGAGGAGCTAGCCCAGCCCCTGGGGCAGGTTTTTCCTCCTCAGGGAGCTAGCCCAGCCCCGGGGTCAGTTTTTCCCAGAGTTTTTTCCCCTTTAGGGAGCCATCCCAGCCCCTGGGGCAGTTCATCTCCCCTGAGGGAGCCATCCCAGCCCCGGGGTCAATTTTTATGGGTATTTTTCTCCCCTCAGGGAGCCGTCCCAACCTCTGGGGCAAATTTCCCGGATGTTTTCCCCACTGAGGGAGCCGTCCAAGCCCCGGGGTCAGTTCCTCACCCTGAGGGGGCCATCCCAGGCCCTGGGCCAGTTCCTCTCTCCTGAGGGAGCCATCCCAGCCCCTGGGCCAGTTCCTCTCCCCTGAGGGAGCCATTCCAGCCCCTGGGCCCAGTTCCTCTCCCTGAGGGAGCCATCCCAGGCCCTGGGCCAGTTCCTCTCCCCTGAGGAAGCCATCCCAGCCCCGGGGTCAGTTTTTCCCGGTGTTTTTCCCGGTGTTGTCCCCGCTGACCCTCGCTGTGTCGCAGGCCGCGGCGTGAGGCTGTACTACATCGGCGGGGAGGTGTTTGCCGAGTGCCTCAGCGACAGCGCCATCTTCGTGCAGTCGCCGAACTGCAACCAGCGCTACGGCTGGCACCCGGCCACGGTCTGCAAGATCCCCCCAGGTAAGGGCACAGCCCGGCCCGGCTCCTCGGCACTCCGTAAAATCATGGAATGGGCTGGGCTGCCTGGCTTGCCTTGGGTTGGGTTGGGTTGGTTGGCTTGGCTTGGGTTGGGTTGGCTTGGGTTGGGTTGGTTGGGTTGGGTTGGTTGGGTTGGGACGGGACACCCCCTTCCACACTGCCGCTACCCCGTGCTGCTCCCAGCCCCGTCCAGCCTGGCCTGGAGCACTTCCAGGGAAGGGAGTCCACAAATTCTTTGGAAAATCTATTTTACTCTTTTAGAATCCACTTGACAATTCCAGCAGGGCATTTTTATAGCTTAAGGGATGGTACTGCTGAAGGAAGCTTCTGTGGGGGTTTAAAAGTTGCACTGTGTTCATCCAACAGAACAGAATCTAAGCACAACTTGGAGCAGAATCTCCCACTTGTTCCTTCAGTGTTTTATCAGTCCATTATTGTATCAGAATTATCTCACAGACACGTTGATAATTTTGTTTGTGCCTCTAAATATTGGTAAGACATTTCTCTTAATTTAGATTCACCCGTAATAGATTTAAATTGTTCTTTTTTTTCTGGTCTCTAGAAAAATCTCTTCCTCTGTGTGAATTGGTTTGTTCTAAAGAAATCACATTTGCAGACACCTCGTTCTCATTAAAGTCTGAAGTTTTTGCTGAAATATTACAAGATAATTTATTTCATCTATTTGGGAAGAAAAGGCTTTTTTGTTAGATAAATGCAAAAAGCTGTTGAGAGAGGAGATGCTGTTTGAAATGGAATTTAGTTGTTTAGCTAAGCTTACACAAGCTGACTTTTTTACAGTTAAAAGCCTGTATATATTTAAAAACTGAACTTCTTTGTTTAGAAATATTTGAATTCTTTTCTTTTGAGAGGAGATCCATACGCTCCAAGCTCTGGCCCATCCTAATAGGTTTCCTTTCTCAGATGCAGCTGCCAGTGCTGCAAATTATGACTTAATTCTCCACCACATCACAGGAGTCCACCCTGGCTGCAGTCAACATCTGCAGACATGAAAAGCCCACATTTCCGCTCAGACCCAGCTCAGGCGCAGTTTTTGGATCCAGCTCTCCCCACTTTTGCCACAGTCTTTGGCCGCCTGTTCTTCAAATCTTTGCTGGGTTTGAAGCAGTTTCTTCCTTGCCTTGTTGACAGGATCGAGTCATTGCCACTCTCCCCCATGGAGAGACCTGATCCCAAGTGCTCCCAAGGGCTGGGATCCAGCACTGGGATCCTCCTGGAGTTTGTTCCTCCTCCCCTGAGCTCAGCCTGGCCCTGACACTTCCACCCTTCAAACTTCCCTTCAGGCTCCCTGAGGCTGCAGCCCCTGGGCTCTTCCCTGCTTCCAGCAGTGGGCAGTGCTTCCTGCAGCTGCTGTGGTCACCCTTTGCTCCACACCAGATGAGTCCAGCTCAGGAGTGGAGGCTCACAAAGTGATTTTTAGCAAAACACAATTCATCCCACTCCAAATGTTGTTTTTCAGCCTTGGCCCACGTGTAATCCCAAATGAGCCTTAGCTGAGTGCCTGGTTTCAGAGTTTAACTTGTTTATGGTTATCTGGGAGAAGGAAAACATAGCAACACTTTTTAAAAGAGTGGGGCATTTATTTATTTATGTAAACTACGAAGGATGTTATTATATTTCACCTTTCCCCCCTAAGAACAGTTGAATAAGTTGTTCTCAGTTGTTTAGCTGAGGCTAAACATCAGGGGAAAAATCTTGTGTTTTGAAAGGAAAGTGTTTGGCACGTGATAGTGAAACTGGAGAGAGGGTTTTAGCAGGAGCAGCTCTGCCACCAGCCCTGGCAGCCTCTTTACCCCTCAGAGCTGCTTCCTGGTGTGTCAGAGTGGTTTCACTTCAGAGCTTCCCCGTTCTGTGACTGACTCGGTGTCAATCCAGCACAGGGAGCTCCTGTTCTCAGCCTGTGCATTCCTCCCCTCCAGGCCCTGCAGGGATCTCTGCTGGTGAGTGCTCACTCACAGTCAGGCTTTAAATTACAATAGGAAGGAAACAGTGTCCAGGAGAGAGAAGGAGGATCCACAGGAGGATCCCAAGCCTGGTCTGCTGGGGAGCTCCAGCATTCAGAATTCTCCCCTTTTCCTTCTTCCTGTGAAAATGTGCCAGCCTCCATTCGTGCCTCTGGGATCTGAGGACATGGGAAGGCAGCCTGGAATTCTCTGAAGAAGCCAGAATTCTCAGTGCCATCAAACCAATGCCGTGTCCCTGCCGTGTCCTTTCCCCCAGGCTGTAACCTGAAGATCTTCAACAACCAGGAGTTCGCGGCGCTGCTGGCGCAGTCGGTGAACCAGGGCTTCGAGGCCGTGTACCAGCTGACGCGCATGTGCACCATCCGCATGAGCTTCGTCAAGGGCTGGGGCGCCGAGTACAGGTGGGGCCGCGCCCCGGGGAGAGCCCTGCGGGGCTGTCACTGCCCTTGGGAACGGGACTCAGCCTGTGCAGGAGCATGGAGGGGTTGTGGCTCTTGGGAATGGGTTGGGGATCACCCCGGGCTCTGCTCCTGCCAGCCCTCAGCTGGGAGAGCCCTGCGGGGCTGTCACTGCCCTTGGGAACGGGACTCAGCCTGTGCAGGAGCATGGAGGGGTTGGGGATCACCCCGAGCCTGCTCCTGCCAGCCCTCAGCTGGGAGAGCCCTGCGGGGCTGTCACTGCTGTTTGGAAAAGGGGAATCGGCCCAGGGTCTGTTCAGGAACACGGATGGTTCTCTTGGGAATGGGTTGGTCTGGTCTCTTTGTGGGATACACCTGGAAAGCCACGTGTGGTAGGAAGCAAGAGCTTTACCTGGAGCACACAGGTAAATCTACATGGTCCATGTAGGAAATATGACATTTTTTTCTTAAGATTAGATATGTTTTGGGTAGGTTGAGTGTCTTAAGACTGCACTTCTATCAAGACAGGATTATAGAATCCTGGAATGGTTTGCTTTGGAAAGGACCTTAAAGCCCATGCAGTGCCACCCCTGCCTTGGGCAGGGACACTTTTCACTGACTCAGGTTGCTCCAGCGTGGCCATGGACACTTCCAGGGATCCAGGGGCAGCTCCAGCTGCTCTGGGCACCCTGTGCCAGGGCCTCCCCAGCCTCACAGGAATTCCTTCCTAATATCCCATCTAACCCTGCCCTCTGCCAGTGGAATCCATTCCCTGTGTCTTGTCCCTCCATGCCCTTGTGGAAGTACATGTGAGTGCTTCCCATGGGCTGGATTTAATGCTTCTTTTATTAGGGACTAATGGGATTAAAATAAAAGCAGATTGGCTTGAAGAAATTATATTTGAAAAAAATTATAATTATATATTATATATAGTTAAATCTCCTGATCCTTTCCTTTGGGCTTGCCATGGGGCAAGTGGGAGAATGTGGGAGCAGCAGGATCAGGTTTTTCCCAGTGAATACTGAGGCTGAAATGGAGATGCAGGAGGTCTGGTGTGTGGGATGGATGTTGTGGTCACTCTGACCCCACAAGGACACTGGAGATGCTGTGGGAACAGAGTATTCCATAGTTTTGCTCTGTCACCCCACTGGTGAGCAAACATCCGAGGGAGAGCAATCAGGGATGGATGGTACAAGCAGGGGAAATGAAATTTGGTGGACAATGGGTGTTGCTTTCTGAGAGGGAAAGCTGATGAGGATTTAAGGCCAGGGTGATGTGGAAATATTTGACCCTTTAAAGCCTTCCTCGAAGCTCCGTGGGGTCGCTGCCATTCCAGGGCTGCTCTGCTGCAGAAGGGGGAGAGGCCTCAGGACCAGCTGGAGCCCGGGCCCTGCACGTTGCTCTGCCACTTTCTTCATTTCTCCAGATGTTTGGAGTCCATTTTGTTTTGAAATCGTCCTGAGCTGGGGCCAGAGCAGCCCAGGGCTGGCTCCCAGCCAGGCCCTGATGAGCTCCAGACGAGCGTGACTTACGGAAAGCCAGGGATCCCCGCGGGGCTGCTCTCCCCATCCTGCCTCTCCTTCCAGAGTTCTCCCTCTGATGCAGAGATGGAGATGTTCCTGTGGGAGCATCCAGAGGGCCATTCCCTGATTCCTGGTTCACCCTTGGGCAGTCTGGATGGGGGTGTTTAGTGCTCCTCTGTGCCAGGGATTTGGTGCAGGGAAGGGGGAGAAGCCAATTCCTTGAGCAGTCTGTGACGGACAGGGACAGGGATGGTGGTGGGAGCTCAGGGCAGCCCTCCATGCACAGGGTTCCTGTTTCACCCCTGGTTGTCCCTGGCTCCCACAGATTTCAGGTTCTCCCTCCCATCACCAAATTCCAAGGACAGCTTCTGTGGGAAGTGGGGGTGTAAAGCCAGGCTGTTCTCAGGCTGTTTCTCCTGCTTTGTAATCTCCCTCCTCCACAGCAGCTGTCCCTGCCTGGAACAAGACCTTGGCCATGCAGAGGAGTTAGAGCCCCTGGCTCCATGTCTTGGTCTCCCTTTCCTTCTTTTCCTCCCCATCTCTCTGTGCTTTTCCACCTGGAGATACCCATGGGGTCTGGGTTCAGGGAGAGTGACAGAGGAGGGGAACAGGGATTTGTGCAGGGAAGGTCAGAGCAGCTGAGCTCTGGCCCAGCAGGGCCCATGGATGCAGGAAGGATCTGCAGGGTTTGGGGTGAGCTCTTCCCAGCACTTCCACATTCTACTAAAACCCAAGGGTACAGTAAAAGGTGAATACCCTTGTGCACAGGGAAATATTTGGTGAACATGGACCTTGCTGTCTAACTTAGGAAAGGCCTGCAAAGGAAAAATGGGTTTGCTTAGATCAGCACCTTCCTTTCCCTTCAGGGAATCAGCTGCTTGTTCCCAGGAATCTGAGCAGTAAATAGCAAGCTGCTCCTGTGGGACCATAGCAAATGTGAAGGGACAAGGTGGGTTTTTGAAAGAAATCAGCTGCACAGGCCAGAGGCTGTTCCAGAGCAGAGCCATTCCTTTGGCCAGGGTGGTTGTGGAGGCAGCTCAGGAGCTGGAATCCTTTTCTGTGGGTCACGTTGGTGTTGTGTCTCTTCCCCTGGCAGGAGGCAGACGGTGACCAGCACTCCCTGCTGGATCGAGCTGCACCTCAACGGGCCCTTGCAGTGGCTGGACAAGGTCCTCACACAGATGGGCTCCCCCAGCATCCGCTGCTCCAGCGTCTCCTAAGGAAACCCCTCCTGGGGCCGTGGGGAACACAGACTGCAACACCCTTAGCAAAGGCATAGTAAGCAACTCCCCAGTTACTCGAGCGATGAGAAAAAAATCTGCTTCAAAAACACAAGAGAAGTGGGTTTTCTTTGTTTTGTTGTTGTTTTTAAGTACCCATTTAAGCCACTTCCACTGAAACCGTCGGCACTTTGGTTGGGATGCTCTGGGGCCGCTGCAGTTGGAATTTGGAGCTGGAGTTGGTGAGGATAAAGAGCTGGATGTTGTTTCAGTGGAGAGCAGGCACTGCTCACCTGCTCCAGGCTGTGTGTGGCACAGGAGCCATCCCAGCTCCCAGGAAACTTTCCCTTCCCTCACACAACTCCAGGCTCGGCAGCATCCCAGGAACACCAGAGCCCGTGGGACTCTGGGATGGCTCCTGCTCGTGCATTCCTTCACCTCCCACCTGATCCACACCGGTACTGCAGCAGCAGGGGGAAGGAGGCATTTCAAGCACCCTAAAGAACGAATTCCCCCAGGAATGTTCTGAAAAGGAAGGAATTCCCCACACTGGACTTGCAGCAAGGAGGCAGAGCCTTGCCTGGTGGCCGAGGGATGATGCCCTCACGGATCAGCCTGGATTCACATGGAGCAAAAGCCCAGTCTGAGGCTCTTTGTGGTGTTGCTGCAGCGATTTTTGACTGGAGCTGCTCCCAGAGGGAGAATTGTCCCGTGGGGAGCCCTGCCTGGAGCAGCTCAAGCTCAGTTCTCTGCAGTCTGTGTGCATTAAGTGCAGCAGTGTCCCGTGGGGAGCCCTGCCTGGAGCTCAAGCTCAGTTCTCTGCAGTCTGTGTGCATTAAGTGCAGCAGCTCTGGGCTGTGTTTTCCCAGTCTCTGCCTCTCCAAAGCCCGAGGGGCTCCGTGTCCAGGTGGAGCAGGGATGGGATGTCCAGGCCTGGCTGGGGGATCCCGTGCTGTCACATGCAGCAGCCAGGACATCTCAGACAAACCAGCCCTCTGTGTGAAACTGTTCCAGCTGATGAAAATGCTCTAAGATGTGTTTTTGCCTGGAGAAATCGGGAGAGTGTGTATTTACTTGTATTATAAAATGTTCCTTTTAAACATACATGCTCCAGACTGTTGAATATTTTTTATCCCTGCAGCAATTGTCATGGCAAACAATTTCCACAACTGGAAAAAAACCCTTAGCACTTGTTTTTATGATTCACATTTGCCAATAAGTCTCATAACTTTGTCAGTGCTGTCCAATTATCTGTTTCTTTATATCTGCAGTGAATATCTTATGCATTTGTGCCAAAATATTAGAGGGGGAGGGGAGAAAGCGATAATCAGTTTCCTATGGAAATCTTTTTTCTTGTTTTTTTATCTATGAAAGACAAACAAGCTGGATGTGGCTGTGGGAAGGACTCACTGGGATGGACTTGAGGATGGTTTTGATAAAGCTTTAGTCCTGCAAACTTCTGTGGGAGTGCCCTGATCCACTGGGGGAACTGATTGGATCAAACACCCACCAGAATTTCCATGCTCCTCCTTTGCCAACGGCTCCTTCCTCAGAGACCCCTGCCAGCCTCTCCTGCTTTGCAAAGCCACCACTCCTGGAGCTGAGGGGACCCAGTGCCACCAGAACAGATCCCAGAGGCCACTGCTGCTGCTGCTGGAATGCAGATGAAGGGATGGTTTGGGACGTTCCCTTCCAGAAACAAGGAATTACCTTCTTTAAGCATCTGAAATGTGAGGAGGACTCTGATGGGGGATGTGCTCCTGGTGACACAGGACTTTGGGATATCCTCTGGCCGAGTCTGGACTGGAGCTGCTCTGTGCAGCACAGCACAAGCAGCACTGGAGCCTTTCAGGGTGTTTGATTTGATAAATTTGACGTTGTGTCTGATCTGAGCTACATCTCTGCCTGCACAGACTGGGGCAAGAAGAGATCTGTATAAAATAGGATTTTTTGGGGCCTTTTACAAAGCAGGTCTGTTGTCACCATGGATTGGTTCAGCATTGGTTCAGATACAGGTTTCTAACATAGCTGTAAAGAAAAGTTTATCCTGAATTTTGTAGAAATATTTGACTTTTGGCTGTTTAAATTAGAGGGGAAAAAATGTGCTCTGTAAAATGGCCCTGGGTTTCCTCCATGAGTGTCTTATTTGCTTATTCTGGTGACAAATGTTGTGTTGCTGTTGTCCTCATCATCACAGAGGAAATTGGACTCTGTGCCTCCTGCATTAACCACAAAAATGCCATCTGAAATCCCAGAGGCAGGGATTGCAGGTGATGCTGTGAGCAGGAGCCCAGCCTGATCCAGAGGCCACGAGTGGGAATAAATCCCAATTTTAATATGAAATTTGCACACGGAGTCATCTCCTCAGCCAACCTGGATTTCTGCTGGAACCCGAGCTACAGCCCCTTGCTAAAGGATAATTAATTGCTGACCATTATTAATTGAGGCCTTTTGAAACCCGGGATTCAGATGATGCATAAAAACTTTGGTTAATCTCCCCTCATCATCCCTTAAGTGAAATGACTTCCAATGGAAAATGTGAGCTGGCCCAGCAGTGCAGTGAGATAAAGGGGAGATTATCTCCACTCCAGCATTAATTTCCTGTGTCCCCGTTGTTTGCTGCTCCCTGATTCATGAGAGCTCCGTGGGTTCTGGAGTCACCTTGGGGAGCCCAGCAGAGCCCCAGGGGCTGAGGCTGAGCCCAGGGATGTTCTGCCCATGCTGCCCTGGATGCTCACAGCTGCAGTGGCTGCAGATGAGGTGAATTCCAGTTCCTGTGGCCAGCAGGGCCAGGGAGCAGGGATTGGGCTGGGATTGCTGGAGGCAGCAGGGCCCTGAGGGCACGGGAGGCTTGGTTTGATTTCTCCTAGAACTTGATGAAAGCAGCTTTGGTGTGGAGCTCAAAGGGATGGGAGCAGCCTGCCCTGGCTCAGACTGTGGCTCCAGGCTGGAATATCCTCTCATTTCATGGCAGGCTGGGCTCTTTTCTCCAGGATTTCACCCGGTTTTGTTCCTCCAGGATCAGTAGCAGGACCTTTGACTCTCTCTTGGTGTGGCTGCACAGCAGGGCCACCCTGTGCTTTCCCAGGCTGTGGTGATCTGTTTATTGTTAATGTACTGAATTGCAGGTTGTATTTTGTGTTAAGCTTGTCTTAGGAGTAATCCAGCGCTGTCCATTTGACTTAATCTGCAGCAGTCAGTGTGCATATGCACAAAGATGGAGAAATCCCGTCGTAAGGCATTTCCCTGGAGCTCTGGCTGCCCCTGTGTGCCAGGAAAGGCTGAGGGAGCCCCTGAGTTGCTCACAGTTTCCTCCCCCTTGCCAGCGTGGTTGAACCGTGCAGGATCCTCTGCAGGGTGAAGGATGTTCAGGACTCATCCCGAGCAGCCAGTGGTGGCACCTGTGCCTTGAGCTGCTTCCAGACTGGAAAAGCAGGAAGAACCCAGCCCAGGGAAGGACTTGAGCCACATCCACAGCATCCAGAGCTCTCCTGCTTCTCTGAGGGGCAGGAGGATGGAATTCCGTGGCTGTGCTGAGCTGGGATGAGAACCAGGCCCTCTCTAGTGGCGGCCTGAGCAGTGTGCTTGACAAGTTCAATGTTTTTTACTATGTACCTGCTTTTGTATTTATGTGTCTTTCTCGAATATTCAGATGAATCCAATATTTAATTTTAGCAGAAGGGGCAGTTAAGGACTCAGAGTATTAAATCTTCCATCTGCTCCTTGCTGATGATTGCTGGAAACGAGGAGCTTGTGATGTGAGAACAGAGCTGAGCATGAAGTCCCTGAGCCCTCGGGAGCCACGGTGCTGCTGCTGCACCAAGTCAGGGCCCCAGACGGGCCCTTGGTGCTCCTCGGGGCTTGATGGGGCTTTAAAAACCAAAACCTGCTCCTCCAGAGCTGCTGGGGTCATCCTCTGCTCCTCCTGGAGCTGCTGGGGTCATCCTCTGCTCCTCCAGAGCTGCTGGGGTCTCCTCTGCTCCTCCTGGAGCTGCTGGGGTCATCCTCTGCTCCTCCTGGAGCTGCTGGGGTCATCCTCTGCTCCTCCAGAGCTGCTGGGGACATCCTCTGCTCCTCCAGAGCTGCTGGGGTCTCCTCTGCTCCTCCAGAGCTGCTGGGGTCTCCTCTGCCCCTCCAGAGCTGCTGGGGTCTCCTCTGCTCCTCCTGGAGCTGCTGGGGTCTCCTCTGCCCCTCCAGAGCTGCTGGGGTCTCCTCTGCCCCTCCAGAGCTGCTGGGGTCTCCTCTGCTCCTCCTGGAGCTGCTGGGGTCTCCTCTGCCCCTCCAGAGCTGGCAGGTTCCTCCTCTGCTCCCCCGGGGCAGCCCCAGTGCTGCTGGGACACCCAGCCCTGTCCCTGGATGGCTCCAGGGGAGCTCTGAGTTCCTGCCCTCCCCTGCAGCATTACTGCCTGTCCCATGTACGCCCTCCCTTTCCATGTGGAACTGTAAGGTCTGTTTTTGACATTTTAATAAACTTTGATTTGAAAACTGAGGCTCGTGAGCAAATCAGGCTGTCGGAGGGATGTGTTTAAGGACACAGATGGACACTTCGGGGTGTTGCCGTGACAGTAACTGGGACACAGCAGCATCCTTAGGTTTGTGCAGTCCCAGTAAAGCGCACAGGAGCTCAGGCACAGGTAAGAGCCTCGTTCTTTTTACAGCCGGGACAGTTTTGTTCAAGAATTTAAAGCCAAATATATAAAAAATAATTTTTAAATTGCATTTAATTCTTTTAACTAATGGGATTCAGGGGTGAGTATAAGTGGAGTTCTGTGCTCCAAGGATTTATTGTTCTCCAGTTGCTGGAGAAGGCAGGCACAGCTGAGTATTCACAGGCTCCAAGTGCCACTGGAATTCCACTGCAGGGAACTGGGGAGCTGTTACCAGCTCAGGAGCCTTCACTGCCCAGCCTGGTGTCCTGTCAGGAGCTGACCCCGAGTTCCTTAAGGAGCAGAGATTCCACCCTCCCTCCCTGATGAGCCGTCCATGGCTGCCCTGTGCTCCTGGTGGGAAAGCTTTCCTGATTAACCCCCGGGCAGAATTCCACCAGCCCGTGGCCGAGGGCGGGCAGGGCAGGGCAGGGCAGGTGCCACCCGGGGACAGTGACAGATCCCTGCACTCTGAAGAGCCCCGGGAAGGCGCCAAGGCGCACCGCGATCCGATCGTGCTGTGAACTCCTCACAGCCCCCCGAGGTCTCTGGAATTCTCTGCTTTTGGGCTGGTTTTCCTGACAGGATTTACGAGAACACTTTTTCCACTCGGCTTTCCAGCCATGTGGTAATGAAGGGTCTCGTCCAGGCTCCGTGCTGGGCCTGCCAGAGTGAGTGCTGGGGGCTCTGCTGGCTGTCACCTGGCTTCCAGTTCCCAATCCCCGCCGGACACGGGCAGGGGAGGAATTAAAACCTCAAAGCCTCAGCCAAAATAAAGAGACAGCTGCCATGGCCTGGAACGTGCGCTCCGGGCCAAAGCGGTGCCAGGGCTGGCTCAGTGGCAGGGAAGGCTCAGCCTGGGCCAAAGCGGTGCCAGGGCTGGCTCAGTGGCAGGGAAGGCTCACCTGGCCTGGCCAGGAGCAGCGCAGTGCCTGAGCCGGGAATGCCAGCCCGGCAGCGGGAATGCTGCAGCAGCAAGCTGCGATGGATGTCAGAGCTGGGCTGGCCCTGCCCGGGCACGGTGGCACTGGGGCCTTTAAGGGCGCTCCCAACCCAAACCACTCTGGGATTCCGTCCAGAGCTGGGGCTGGCCCTGCCCGGGCCGGGCACTGGGGCCTTTAAGGGC